TCACGAAGACTGCTCAGCAGGGAATAAGACGGCAACATAATGGGCCTAGCACCGCCAACTGGCCACCGAAACAAACTCGATCATATCATACTAAAGTCGATTTTCTGGGACTGGACACAAGAATGCTTCGACTTCACTACATCTGTCGGTACCTCACCTAACTGAGTTCTTACAAAAAAATGGATTACCAGCAATGGACGCAGTGGAAAAATCATCCTCAAATTGTCCGTGTGACGAAATGCGTCGTTCCACTTCATGATAGTATTCTGTCCACAGCACAATATCATTTTCATGGAGTACAAAATATGGATTAAATATCCTTACATTTATGAACAGATTCTGTGAGCTGTCTGGCGATTTCTGGAAATAATAACTAACTGAACGGTTAACAATGAAAAATAACTGTGGAAAATGCTTTGGTCAGTGTCGTATGCGTGAATTAGGTAGATAGATGTATTAGTGCCTAGTATGCCTTACTGAAAAGACATCTGCATGGGCCAACTGCTTGCCCATGTAATAATAAAAAGCCACTGCATAAAAAATAGTGCTACGACAGATATTTAACAGACCGAATCACAACAGCTTTTTTTTTTTGAGCAATGTCACATTGCCCGGAGATCCTTTACAGTGCCGTTGCATTAACTACACAGCAGTTTCCCGCACAATTTATATTCTCTGTTATGCAAAAAGTTAGCCAACAACTAAAATGCTCGCTCACCTCTCCTTCCTATCACAGATCTACAAGGCTAAAAATAAACTTGTTTTTTATGCGTTTGTGCAAATGCGAAAACGCATGTTGCAGCGATCCATGCTATGTGTGTTTTTGTGTCTGTGTTTGCGCGTGCTTCTTCCTGTGTATTTCAACTCGGCATCAGGTAAATCTTGATGCTGAGATTTTAGGGACGGGCCCCCTGGCAAAGCGCCTAATCCAAGAACTCGGAAATCGAGACAGCTAGGTAATTTCCAGTGAACGGCCAGTCATGGAAATAATCCATTTTTATGCGTTTTTGCTATGCAGCGCTATAGCGTTGCTACAGCCAGCAAAAATGCATACTGTCGAGAGGTTGTCTGTGTGTGTGTTCGGAAAGCGAGTGCATTTTGTCACTCCCTTTCATCACAGCAACCAGGAGAGCTGGGAGGCTGAAACTTTGGACATATGTTCCTATCCCGTATATCATCCTCCCGTTTTAAGATCTTTCCCCATACGCGCTTAGACCCCGTGTGTGGAACCCCCAAAGAAATATGTTGGCGGGAGACGATTTCGCGAACCAGGCAAGGTAGAAAGCTGAAACTCTGCAGGGATATTCTCTATGCAAGTGCGAGATAAAAATTCCAGACTCAGCTCGCTAGCTCCCCAACCACAGCCTCAAGG